TCTCTCTCTCTCTCTCTCTCTCAATGTTCTGCAGCACCTTCAAAGTAGTCCAAGAGTTGTCAACAAATGCACAGAGGAAAAAGAACCAAAAAAAACCCTCACCAAAAGCAACTACAACAACAACAAGGAAAAAACAACAAGCCATCGGTGTTCTCTCTTGTGATTTTATTTTTCCGTCAAACTTCTAAGAATAGAAAAGTCTTCTGTCGCATTCTGGACATAATACATATAATACATAATATAGGTCACAATAACAAACAATCTTACTCTTCCCTCACACACAACAGGCACACAGCTCAAAAAGTCAACACTTGTCTTAAATGGACCGTCCGCTATACACGTATTTATTATGTCTGTGGAGTCAGCTGATCCAGGGGCGTCCAAGTCGCATTGTAATATCGGACATCCACTCCTGCTCAAAGATCCTACAACACAAAAGATGGTTCACTCAGCCAAAAAAGCGTCCGTGCCCCTACGCGCTTATTCTCAGATGGCGCTACAGTCGCTGTTTTTGAAGCTTTCTTTCGTTTCTGGAGAAGAAGTCAGCTCAAGGAGGTTGTATGATACTAGTGCTAGATTGTTCTCAGATCCTTGAATTCGCTGCTGTTGGCAAAGTACGCGCTTGTTCGCAGAGAGCGCCACCATGATTTTGAGTCGCTCTTTTCAAAAGCTCAAAGAGAGGAGTGAACCGTCTTGTAGTATAGGATCTCTGACCTGCTCAAACCGCGTTGCAGTAGCGGGTGTCCAGGAACAGCACCAGAACTCTGTGAGGGGAAAAAACAAAACAAAAAACTGGAAGCTCAAACATACTAATCAGACATAAAGCTAGCATCTGCGTTTGTCGCGGCCGCCATTTTGGGCATTTTTTTGTCCGCGAATCGCGGCCGCCATTTTTGCATTTTTCAAAAAGAAAAGGCTACTTCTTAACATAGACGTGTATTTTGATAATTTTAAGGTGTCCATGTATAGTTATTTTCACGCGAAGAATAATAAGTACATTACAGATTGTTTATTGTATTGTTGTTTGTCTTTTATTTTTCCCTCTTTGTTGGTGTGGTAATTTTTGAGGGGTTATTTTTGTGATCTATTTGTGTGTGTGTTTATACATGTATAGCGTAATGTTATTCCATTTGATGTTCCTACATTTAAAAAAAAATGTGTTATGTTAGAGCGTGTCTCCTCCAAAACCGAATGCTGACACTGGCAGGCCCCTTGTGTGTGATTCCATAATTTACATGTAATATCCAGTACTTTTTCTTGAATTAAGCACGTTTAGGGTTAAAACGGCCAATCTTAGGACAGGTGGACACTCGCCCTTATTTGTCACTTTTTGCGATTGTTTGTGTACTGTTCTAATATTAATTTCATTTTGTTGTGAAACCTTTTTTTATTTTTCACGTTTTTACACTCTGTGTGGCTACAAATGATCTTCTGGATGCTCAAAACAGAGCACAAGAAATGCTGGTGCTTTAGATTAAGTTACCTCTATCAATATATTGCGTCGTCACCAGGGGCGAAGCGTCTATATAATCAAATAATCACTGCTTCCCTTCCTAATTTTGAAACATTGTCGCTGTCAAGTTCA